TTTTTAACCAGATTCTGAGAATATTTTATTTGTCTGGGTACATTGAGAAATACGGGAAATTATTTCTGTCGTGTTTGCTGACCAGCTGAGGTCAACTGCGAACACTTTGCGTCTGATGTTAATGTACTGCAGAAAACCCAGTCTCCAAGACGTTATGTTTAATTCTGGTCATTTGTTTATCTAATCACATTATGCCAGGAAATGCTTGCCGAATTACATTATGTTGAGTGATCAAATATTTTCCACTGAGGAATATATGGGACTGAGAGCCTGACACATTACAAACCAGAGTCCAGATCTTGAGTCAGGTTTAGGAAACCAAAGCACTTTGGTTGGGTAGTGTAAAGATAGTGGTTTCAGATACCAACCATCTGTGCCTACTAAAATACGTGCTGTGATTAAAAGGAACCATCCGGAATAAGGATAGGTTCAGACTGCAGGAAAATCGAACCTTTAAGACGAGAATGTTGTCTAGTCATCATCAACCTATCTGCATGTATTTCTGTGGTAATGACGTATAGGCAGCAGTCACTACATAGCTAAGCTGGTGACGCAGCCTTTATGAGAAATGGAGATCAATCATTTCCACCTACAAACATTACACTCCCAGGTCGCAACTGGATTCAAGAGTATTTTATTTTCTGTCCTTGGACTTTTGATCACCTCCATGTTGCTAGCACTCTGCTAATATCAGCTCTGCATTTCCATGTATTAGATTTCTATTTGATTGTGTGTCATTTTGTGTTACGTTGGGATGAACGCAAATCGATTCTGAACTACCATCAAATGTGATTTGCGTCTGATTTGCAAAAATGTTCCCCTTATTTTCGCAGTCTGGACATTCTATGAATTAGATTTGCAGCAGTGCTAGCTGCTTTACAGCATTTATTTGAGCTAAATACTATCATTGGCATGCTAATTAGCTCAAAGTATCAAATTGCTAGCTAACCTGCTGATGTGAAGCATGTACTGTATAATGTCTACTATCTTACTTTAGCATTGATAACATGCTAGCAATTTCATGTTAGCAGTACAGCCGATGCCGATGTTTTTGTGCTGTACTTTAGAACTGGAAAATTACCTGATGATATGCCTAGTTACTGTAACAACCTAATCGCTTTGAGACATGGCTGTCATGAGATATGGAGGTCAGTCATTTGCCCTCTGTTTTTCTTGAGAAGAAAGATATGTTCTCTGTCACTTTGAAATGATTACTGATAATCCGTCATAACCAGTGACGTGCGGTGAGGTTCATGGCTGGTGAGGCACTGACTCACTGAGTCAGATTTACAAATATTATATTTTGACCTTAATCGAAATATTCGGTTATTTTCAAAAGCTTTTTTAGTCTGATGCTTCGATTCATTTTAAACAGACCGTTCAACAAAAGCATACCCAAAATCTAAATATTAGATTGTTCTTTCTTAGTAAGATCCCATTTTCATTACAAATGTGGTCTTACCTTGACTTGAAGATGAAGTCCATGCTATCCTTCTGGACAACAATCTCTATTACTTTTTTGTAAAAGTCCTCCTTATCTTCCTGTAGTTTCAAAAGTCTAGTTTGTTGTTTGCGGCCTATAATAATATAATAAAACACGGAGGACGGAGATCTATTTTTCTCCCCCTCTTCTGACTTCATCAGAGCACGGCTCCCCTCTCCTGCAGGGGGGCGTGGTCAGCTGCAGCTCACAGAATCAGCCCCGTGCAAAAACAGTGCTGGTGAACAGCAAATAGAGCGAAATGAGGCATGGCTAAAATGCATGATCTGTTTGGTATTTTGAAAACAGAAACGTATAAATATACCTTATATAGGTATGGCCCTACAATATATCATTTAAATATAGCATGATAGGTGTCCTTTAAGTAACCAACAAACTTTAAAATAGCTATGAAATAATACGGTAATACGTAAACGCACACATTTATGTACATACATTTTTGCGAATTAACAAAAAACGCAGTAAGTATTTTGTGACATTCTTTTTTCTATTCCCACATTTATAAATGCACACGGCATCTATTGCACGTCTGTCCGTCCTGGGAGAGGGATCCCTCCTCTGTTGCTCTCCCTGAGGTTTCTCCCATTTCCCCTTTAAACTGTGGGTTTTTCTCTGGATGTTTTTCCTTGTATGATGTGAAACGTAAGGACAGAGGGTGTCGTATTGTCATACTGATATTCTGTACAAACTGTGAAGTCCACTGAGACAAATGTAACATTTGTGATATTGGGCTATATAAATAAACATTGATTGATAAAGAATGGACAAATGTGTATAATCGTTAATGTCAGATATGTACTAAGTAAATACATTTGTTCCTGCTCAAGATTAGATTCAACTTTATTGTTATTGCACAGATTACAGGTACTGAGACAACGAAATGCAGTTTAGCTTCTAACCAGGAGTGCATAAAGCAGTAAAGTGAAAAGTAATGTACACAATCTACAGAATAAAATATAGAATAAATTGAATGATGAATAAACAGTGAGGGGTATGAATACACTACTGTATATACACAGTAGCCTAGCCTAGTATTAACAGTGTGTTGTATGAATATGCTAAGATATATAAAGTATGACAACGGTAAGCAGTGCAAGTATAGTATACAAATATATAGATATTAATTTCATGATGATAAACATTGTGGAACAATGATGAAAAATGTGAATGGAAGTGGCGACGTAAAACTGACACAAAACAACAACACACTTTTGCCGAGCCAATGGAGAGTTTCATCACCAGCACGGGGTAAAAACCACCAATGAGCGCTCAGCTCGAGATACCAGCAAGTCGTTTCCCATCAAGCATTTCGCTTCCGCAGCCCGTGGAGAGAAACTGCGCCGCCTCGCCGCGCCTCGCTCTCAAGTCTGCGGGCGTCTTTGTCCCGCGAGATTTCAACGTCTCATGTAGGCGAGCCTCCTGAGCAAGTCGGACAAAATGACTAACCATCATGCAACGCACTAGCAAGACGTTGATTGCAATTGCGCAGGTCTGCGCAGGTCTCGCTTGTCTCAAACAAGCCCACTCACTTCCTCCAGAAGCCCCTCCTTCTGCAGGATGTCCCGCCCCCTCTGCTCTAGCTGGGCCCTGGCATGGGGGAACTCCTGAAGCGCCTCCATCAGGTCTTGTTTTGAAAGGCAGAAGAGGTCTGAGTATCCCAGACTGCGGATGTTAGCCGTACGACGGTTCCCCATCTTGCTGCCGCTGATGTTCAAGATGCTGATTTCCCCGAAACAGCTTCCTGATGTCAGAACAGCAAACTGGGTGACTCCATCCTCCCCCACCACTGCCAGCTGGCCATCTTTAATGATGTACATCTCCTTACCCACATCACCCTTGGAAGAAAAAAAGGAATGAGGATATATATCAGGACTTACAATACTGTCCTTTCAACAAAATGGCAGAGTAAGGCTGTTAATACTAGTGCTACACTTAGCACTACCGTATGTATAGCACATATATACATCCACTTTAAGATAAAAACATCTATATTGATTCTGACTTTTCTACATCCAACTCACAGGTTTATCATTGCTTTGAGAAAAAAGATTATTTATTTATTCACCCCTTTTAGAAGTGAAGATATAGTCATTTGTTCTGGGAATGTCATTTTCGAGCCTGAGACCTGAAAAACAGGCTTGGGGCATAACTGGTTAAAACAGGATTACGTGAGGGGAGAAAAAGCAACACTAAAGCTTAACTTTAAAATGTTTTGACAATACATCCAACCCTTAAAACCATTTCCTAACCATGTTGGCACTAGAGGAAAAGTTATGGGATCACCAGTCGCTAGGGTTCATCATCTGCTGATCATGAATATCTGTTCAAAATGTAATATCAATCCAATCCAAAAGTTGTAGTTGGAATATATCAGTTGAAATGGAAAAGGTGGAAAGACAAAAACATTCTGTGGAATGGTAGTTATATTTGTAGGAGACTGGGCTATGACAGCTCTTCCTCCAACTGTTCATTCTATGTGTTCCTGTTTTAGTTCCTTAATCTTAATCTTTGTGCATTTAAATATCATCAACCTCATTTGCCATAAAGAAGTAGCCAGCAGTTCCTCATACATTTTATACAATCAAATCTCTTCATACAGCTTACATCCAGTGCGTCACTGTCTTATTAATCATAAACCTCATGCAACTGAAGTTACCAGAAAACTGAAGTCATACTTTATTTATCTGATTTCTTCTGAGAACAATGTTTACTAACCACATGTGTCTTATCAGTAGAGCTGTGACCAACACAGAAACAAATGGAAAAAGATGAATCTCCAACGAGGCGTTCTGGGGCAGCATAGACAGGTCTTTTCTGTGTTAGAGTTTTACTCGCTACAGGGTGTACTTTGAGGGTTTTGACTCTGCAGACCGTTTACATGCATAAAAACCTTCATAACACACAAGGGGACGGGTAATAACCGGAAAAGCATGACATGGGACCTTTACATTTAGTGATTTTATTGTGAAAGATTTGGAAGAAATATTAAATCATGATTTACTTACTAAAGATGTTTAAATATTGATTTGAACTTGCCATATGACTCATTGTATAAGCAAATGTAATGTATTTTCCATATTTTCTATAGTTTTTTATTAAATCTACAACTTTTAGCTACGTAAACACCAAAATTGGAAACCATTTTTACGTTCAGATGAAAAAAATACACAAAAATGTAAACATATAAAAAATCCAGGTGAGAATGAAAGAGGTAGTGTGCTTAAATGTGTTCTTAATGATATGGAAACTGGTTATGAAGTTGCAGGTTCAATCATGTGGACAATGCATCCATTCAAAACACACTCATGAGTTTCTTGTTGTTGTTAACCACATCCAACACTTTTTTTAACTTGCGTGACCTCACATGTATAATTTCAGAACGGTGTGCTGTCAGTGCTTGGAAGGCTCAGTTTGCTTGTCTGACACACACCACGACAGAGCACAATACAGGAAGGACAGTTAGACATCTAGAGCAACGTCCTCATTCGAAAACCTAGTAGCCCGCTGTAGCTGTCACAACAGAAATCCCTCTGCCTTTAGAAAATGCTGGAGTGCTTTTTTTCCAAAAGGTAAGCCCAGATTTGAATTCAGTTCATTTATAGACTTTAGAGGATCACACAGTTAAGTCCAAGGAGCTATTTACTTCCTAATTATGAACACTTTGATAATAAATCTTGTCTGGCGATTTATCTCAGGCTAATCCTTATTATCATTTATGACTTTGTGGCTGTAATGGAGTATCCAACAAGGAAAACAAATCTCATAACGTAAATGATAGTACCAAAAAAATCTATTTTCCTGATTTGATAACAGAAAAATGCAACATTTATAACATTTCCATACAGTAGTATACTGGATCTACATTTCTGAATTGAAGCAAGAGGGTTTTTTGTGTGATATTTACCTAATCTTAAATCAGTTGAATCTGATCAAGTATACCAAATATTGCTTACCCACATAAAGGCTTTGGCACACATTTCATAAATGCATGTTTAACATTTTCAAAGTTACCTAAAAGCGTGACTTTAGCTAAGATATTTCTGCAGCTCGTCCCATGTGAACCCTCTCAACATACAGTGATGACACAATTGTCCTTACATGTCGCTGTAAGACTGTAAGTCGCTTTGGATAAAAGCGTCTAACAAGTGACATGTAATGTAATGTAATGTAATGTCCTTAGGCGCTTTCACACCGCAGTACTTTTCCCACAAAGGTTCATGAGAACTTAGTTCATGAGAACTCTTTAGTGCTCATGAACTAAGTTCAGATCGCGTTCACACCGGAATAAGTCCATGAGTGAGGATTAGTCAAATGAAGCCGCTGACGTCACTTCTTCTTCTTCTGCTTTGGGTTTACTGGCAGGCCGCAAACAACTTCACGGCGTATACTGCCACCCGAAGTCCCCGGCCGGAAGTCCCCGGAGTTGGGGACTGGCTTCAGTAGAAGCTGCTGGGACTCCCAGCAGCTTCTACTGAAGCCTTCCGAGTAAATCGCCAGAACACCGACACCTCATCTCCACCACTCCCATGTTTTATTTTGTGTTGCCATAAGTTAGTCTCTCTGCGTTTGTGCGCTGGGCTAATGCTAATGCTAATAATGCTAATGCGAGGATAATAAAATGGCGGCTTCACAAAACTTTTTGGGAGTTTTACGGGGCGTGGTTTGCATTCCGCCCAGCCAATCAGACATAGGAACCTTTTTCTCCCACGAAAGTACCTGCTCTCTAGCAGGGACGGAAAAGGGGGTAAAAAGGTTCTGTTGAACACATTTTAGTTCCGGCTCTTTTTGGTGTGAACGCGACATTTCGGAACTATATCGGAACTAAAGTGGGAAAAGTACTGACTAAGTAGAACGCGCCTCTTGTTATAACCTGTACATAGCTAGAGACATAGCTTAAAGTATTACATGGGAACACCCACAACATGTTTTTAACCCTAATGACAGCTTTATGTCATGAGAGAATGATTTATGTAAGAGTTTACTTCTGTATGTTTTAATGTAGAACAGTTCTGTTGCTCAGTGTAGATTATGTAAAGCTTGTCTCTGATTCAACGCAAATTCAGTTAACCTTAACCAACACACTAACAAAAGTCATGTGACAGGAAAATGAGTATCAACACTTTTAAATTAAAGAAAATGTATCGCAGAGGAACAATTTGAGTGTGTTTCCTCCTGTTGTTTCATCGTTAATAGATAATGTTGCCGTTTCATAAGTTACTGATAGGCTTCATTGAATTAATTATGTTAATAAATGAAGACAGGGAACCATGTAGAAAAATATGCCCTATTATGCTTATTTGGGTTTTCCCTTTCCTTTGTTATATAGGTTTTTGTGCATGTAAATGGTCTGAAATGGCTTAAATTACACAGTTTCTCTCCCACACACTAATGGATGGTGAAGTGCTTTTGGTTTGCATATAAGAGTCATTAAAGATATACATTTTCACTTTTGTCCTTGCAGTGAAAAAACTCCATGGACAAGAGCTAAACGGTGGTGGTGGTGTATTTTGACAATGATCCTGATGTTGGGAACGTTTATGTTAACTTTCTACATTTCGAACCCCCAAGTGTCATGGCCTTTAAAGTTTTGGACAAGGTTAAGGTCAAGCCAATCTTACGACGATGACAGCGTGAGTATATTTAGTCAACTGTCAAAATGATTGAGGCAAAGAAAAACTCATACACAACACATGTTGTTCTGTTGAGCTCATAATAGGTTTCTTTTTGATGACTCATCTGTAGTATCGCACTTCATGGAGTTTTCACAGAACTGTATAAACGTATTTGAGTCAAGGAATATTTTGTAATACAAGAGATTTTGTGTCAATGCAAGAGATTGGTGTGTTCAAACAGAACGCAAAACTATCTTTTGAGCCGGCATTTTTGCAAAGAAAAGGGTCCAAAGAGTCGATTTGTTTTATTTAATTTTGCCTCTTGTCTTAACAAATCTTTATACTGCCTTAGTTGTCTTTTAATATGAATGCAGGGAAAAAAAAGAAATAGTATGATAAATCATGTTCTATTGAGTTGCATCATTAAAAAAATACCAACCTTCTCTGCTTACAGACTTCACCACCAGAGGATTCTTCAGCGTACTTTGTGCCTTACCCGCACAGGTATCGATTCATATTGGACGAACCCCATAGATGTTTGCAGGAAAGCCCATTCTTAGTCCTTGTGATTCCAGTCGCACCCCACAACAGAGAGGCCCGTGACACAATCCGTAACACATGGGGGAGAGAAACCACAGTGCTGGGTCAGGTCGTGAGCCACTACTTCCTGCTGGGACTGTCCAAAGAGGAAGATGGGACTGCAACCTCCAAGGAGCAAGTGAGCTGACTCATTACAAGTTCCTGATTTCCCTTTTCCTATCCCTTTCAACCACATAAGACAGTACCTTATAAGAACAGAGGGAAAGAGCATTACAGGTGTTTATTGGTATGAAATCAAACTGCATTTCTATTATTGATCTCGAAACATATTGTCTAATGTGAGACTGAGACTTCTAGGACCTAATTGTATATCTGCAATTATAGATATCTGTTGATAGAGATTAGTGTACAAAGACCAGAATACCACAGCTGAAAAGAGAGGGAATATTGACTTACCTTCAACAGCTCACCAGCAACACAACTCCAAATGAATGCTATTAGGCGCGTTCACACCGGAATACTTTTCCCCGTACTTTTCCTGTTTAGTTCCGTTAGTGCCTGGAATTTTGCGTTCACACCAAAAAGAGTACTTAGTTCCGAGAACATTTACCCCCATTTTTAGTGCCTGCTAGAGAGGTGGTACTATCCTGGGGAGAAAAAAGTACCAATTTCGATTGGCTGGGCGAACTGCAAACCACGCCCCGTAGAACTCTGAAAAGTTTTGTGAAGCCGCCATTGTATTTGCTGGCATTAGCATTATTAGCATTAGCATTAGCCCCGCGCACCAACGGAGAGAGAATAACTTATGGCACCACAAAAAAAAACATGGGAGCGGTGGAGTGATGAGGAGGTGTCGGCATTCTGGCGATTTACTCGGAAGGCTTCAGTAGAAGCTGCTGGGAGTCCCAGCAGCTTCTACTGAAGCCAGTCCCCAACTCCGGGGACTTCTGGCCGGGGACTTCGGGTGGCAGTATACGCCGTGAAGTGGTTTGCGGCCTGCCAGTAAACCCAAAGCAGAAGAAGAAGAAGTGACGTCAGCGGCTTCATTTGCGTACTCTTCCCTCAGGGAACTTATTCCGGTGTGAACGCGATCTGTACTTAGTTCCATGGGGGTACTAAGTGCCGGGCACTAAGTGCCGGCACTAAGTACGGCAAAGTACTTGGTGTAAAAGCGGCTAATGTTGCTCTGTATCTGCTGGATATGTAAAAAAAGAACAGTTTGACTAAGTTTAACTAATTTTAAACTGTGTCTCCTATGTCCCCCTCTGTAGGTGTTAGAGGAAAGCCAGAGACATCATGATATTCTCCAGAGTGACTTTTTGGACAGCTATAATAACCTCACCATTAAAACCATGGTCATGTTCGAATGGCTTGGCTCCCATTGCCCCAACACCCCCTATGCCATGAAGGTAGACTCGGACATGTTCCTCAATGTCCACAACCTTGTTGACTTGCTTTTGAAAGCCCCCAAACAACTTTACATGACAGGAATGGTTGCGAGGAATGCTTTTGTTATAAGAGACCGTACATCGAAGTGGTTTTTGCCCTATTCTGCCTTCTCTGGGTCCAGATACCCACCGTATACCTTGGGACTGGGCTATGTGTTCTCACTGGATTTACCCAAGAAGATACTGGAGGCATCTGCACATGTTAAAGCTATTTACATTGAAGACGTGTATGTGGGAATGTGTATGAAGCATATGGGATTCCAACTGACTGATCCTCCTCGTGGTGATTTGTTCAGGGCATGGGGATTGATTCCTGATGGGACAAGCAACTGTTACTGGACTTCTGTCATTACAACAATACTGCAAAACCCTAACCAGCTTTCAGAAGCATGGAGATCATATCGTTCTATGAATACTTCTGACTGTGCTTAGCAAATCAAAGATTGTTACGCCCTGCAACTGCATAGCAGTGTTGCACGGTACAGCCATGTTGCATTACGGCAGATACAAGACTGTATCACTCTGTTGGAGTAGTTTTTTAGGACTAAAAAGCACTTAATACACTCACTGATGTTCGTTGGTGGACTTAGCCTACCTCATATGTATTAATAGTTTATGTCTAATAGTATATAGTCCTCATTGCCATTGGCCTTTTATTCCTTTTAGCTCCTTCAAAGGTTTGGGTTGTTGGGTCCTCATTTGACGCAACAAATCTGAAACCAGTTGAAGTAGGTGCATCATGCAGTTCAAGGCATAATTCATAGGACATTTGGTGCGTGTTTGGACACTTTATGGTGTACCTAAAAACGCAACTTTCAGTGAGTTAAGGCCTTAATATGAACATTGTGAGGCTACGCATAATGTGTTTAGAGGATTGCAAAGATTGCACAAATGATTGAAAATATGCCAATACTTGCACAATTTTAGGATGGAGATGTTGTGTTCATGCAGCTTTCCTGTCCAACACATCGAATTTAAATGTGTTTTAAGCTCAGCAATCAGAGAAAGATACCAGGTACAGTACAGTATTTACCACGCTGGGAAACAATGGAGTTTTATTCACCAAAAGCGGCTACATTTGACTTTAAAAGGTACAATGTTTAATACCACGCCACCTGCTAAAAGGAAATAGGGTACAGTATTTTATCTCTACTATGTAGAGTGGCTCTGGGGGACGGAGCTTAAGTTAGCTGCTGTGCTGGCTTGGATTCAGCGGGCAAAAACCCCAGTACAGACCTGAGTTACATTGAGAACATTTTGCGATGGCAGTAACAGAAAGTTTAGTAATCTGCTAACAGAAGATCGCCCGTCCCATACCTCCATGAATGTAGTATTTACAAGCTAGTCGGAGCAGTACCACTTCTTCTACCTTATGTCTCTGCAACACAATACAGAGACATCCATGACTTAACATAAACACCATTACACCTTCAATTCTGGCCTATCTTAACCAAAGCACCTTTAATGACATGAAGGAAAATGATGATCATCGAGCATGATGAGTACAAAATGAGCATGACTAGCCTTCTCCACAGAAACCACCCATGCAAGAGAAAGAGGTCTACACGTCATTAAGGAAAGTTCACACAGTCTGCAGTCAGCAAAACCAGAATTTTCACCAGCAAAATAACTTTTGTCATACAGGTGGTGGCCCACTTGGCTGTAAACACAAGAACCTGCTAGCATCAGATTAGTAGTTTCTCTAGAGTCTAGTGGAATGGTGGCTCTGAAGATGGCAATGTCATTCCTTTTATTGTGCAGTCCACCACTTTGGTGCGTTCTAAAATGTTTTGCATAATGTGAAATCCCAAGAATGGTATTCATCAGTAAAGCCTGCCTTTAATGAAGGTCTTGTCAAAAATGACATGCATCACATGAAATTGAGCAGATACATAATTAAAAAAGACAACTGTCAATATATGTATGATTTTAATTGTAACAATTGATATGTTAATTTAAGTTGACTTTCATAATTAACTTATTTATTCAATGTATAAATAAATATTTGAATTTTCTAATACATTTCTGGTCAGTTTATTTAACACAGTGATCATTCATTTTGTCACCTGATTATGAAATAACTTTCCTGCCTTTAAAAATACAGTGTTTAGTTGAAAAGATTCATAGTGTTTAGTAAAAAAGAAATGTATTTATAGAACTCAGTTGAGTTGTTAAAAGACCCTGGTTTATGTATATATGATAGCATTTTTGATCACGCCCAAACTTTAGTAACAGGAGATTGTCTTACTTTGTCCACTCTTTCTTTGTATTTTCTTTTTTTGCAAGAAAAGTTGTTTTTTTGTTTGATTCAATGTTAACACTTTGGTCTCTCTGGGTTTCTCCCTGCTGATGCAGTGTCTCAAGCAGTACTGTGCCTAATTGTGGTTGATCGAACTGTGGTTGGTTCCTATTTTGAATTTTACTGTACAGTTCAACAGGCAGAATAACATTTGACTTAAGTATATCTTTATCAGAATATTTAGGAGACAATCAAATAGTGTTTGAAGAATTTAAATTCAATTTTGCAAAACTCTCCTAGTGCTACATGATTTGTTGAACAGACAGTCAAATCGTTGCATTTACTGTAGAGGAAGAGAGAAAAGAAGACTTGACAAGACGTGAATGATTTCACAGAGCTCTAAAAGCAGACATGTCTAACACCTCTGAGGTTTTTTCTCACAGAAGTAACGTCAGACATCACTACATTTTAGTCGACATGCAAAAATGGGCAACAGCACTATCTTGTGGTGGGCAAGCCAATGGGAAAATAGAAACAAGGAAAGGACTGTTGTGTGGTGAGAGTTTGTGATTGAAACATTTATAATATTGTCTGTAAAAAAAAACACTGGTTGATAATAAGATTTTATTAACTTCAATAAAGCAAAGACATATTTCATATATCAATTGTGGGGAAATCCTGCATGTTGATGTGCTGTTATTATGGCTACCAATTGGATAACAAGGTCTAAGATATTAACTTTACCTTCCCAGATAGTGATGGTAAATATTACTAAGGCGGGGTGCTTAATATTAATAACCCAATATGGGTTAAGGTTCAGTTCATGTTCAGACTTCATTACAGCAGGTGAATAACTCTTCACTGCACCCTGTTTCCAAGAATCCTGTCACGTGGCGGAGTTTCTTTCAACGTCTATAAGACTTGAAAACTCTTTCTGAGGCTCTTTCATGAGAAAAGGGTTGATTACGAGTCTGGAATGAAACAAAAAAAAGGAAAGAAAGTCTATCGATAGTCTGTGAAAATAGCTTGTCTGATTGAGGTGTATTTATTTTTACTTTGCAAACAACCTGACCATTTGTGTCGCTTAAAACAAGTCTCTTCAAAAATTCCCTTCAAGACAGATGGAAAGGAGGGTGAGCTGTTGGGAGAGGACAAAGCAGATTTGCCAACCTTTGTGGGGTGAGTTTTTCAGTCTTAGCCCATAAGGACCCACCGTGACACAGTTGTCACATGCAGTGGCGTTTTTATATGTACAAAAGTGGTGGGGCACGAACAACTTAGATGTTTATAAGCTTCTGGTGCTTTTTTAAACACGTAAACAAATAGCTGTAGGCTATCCGTGGTTCCGATAGAGATGGGAAGCCGTGAATGAAGAACACGGAGCAACACTGTCAGCGCATACATTTATGTACACAGCGTGGGGATGTCATATTGTAATGCACCTTAATACATGCTGTAAAGGGCACCATCACAAAGCAATACTTAACAATAACAACAACCGTAATGCTTCAGCATTAAAACACCATAAGGGGCATTCACACCAAGTTCTTTTCCCACAATAGTTCATGAGAACTCTTTTAGTTCTGATCAGTGCTTGAATTGGAATAAAAAAGGTGCCAGTACTCTAAATCAGCAACTGTTTCAAGTCAATTTATTTATACAGCCCAAAAACAAGTATTTGGCTCAGTCACATAGTATCCTATAATGCTGGTGGGTTTGTCTCTTTACTGTATATTTTAGAAAGGATCACTGTACTTAAACAAAATGACTCAGGGTGCATCTGAGATTAGAGGGGGTGCAGTGGTAAAGTGCTACATTTATAAGTGGGGAGTGGACCTGACCTAAAGGGGTCCGGGGGCATGCTCCCCCGGGAAGATTTTTTTTAAATATTGAAGTTAAATTCATCAATCTGGTGCACTTTGAGAGCAAAATGAAGAGATATATGGATACCTCTCAACATCCATATGAAACAGAACTGTAAACAGATGTACTTTTTCTTTATGGATATAAAAGAAAGTAAAGCCTGACTCCTACTGGCGGCTGGTTAAATGACTCCTCGTCCCTGAGTACACTCACCATCTTTCAGCAGGAAAGGAGAGAGGGAATCAATGAGAGACGGGAGAGAAGGCTCTGTGGGAGCTAGTGCTACAGAACTTGGAGCAGGAGGCTCGACCAGAGAAGGCTCCCCGTCAGACAACATTTCTAACACAGGCACAGCATTTCTGTATTAGCAGTCGGCTCCTTGTCCGGCGACATCTCATGACGCATGACGCATCTAGGTGCATCTACGCTGGGCATATTTGTTGTCATGCGTCATGACGTGCCGCCGGCCGCCGGCTGAGTATGCGGCTGAGTACCGGCATCTCAGTACGAAGTGCCGGTACCACATGGGTAAAAATCAGAAGTGCCGGTACTGCGTACCGGTAAGTACCGGCCCAATTCAAGCACTGGTTCTGATGAACTAAAGCAGATTGCGTTCACACCACAGTGAGTTCCTGGGGGATGATTAGGCAAATGAAGCCGCTGACGTCACTTCTTCTTCTTCTGCTTTGGGTTTACTGGCAGGCCGCAAATCACTTGGTGTATACTGCCACCCGGAGTCCCCAGCCGGAAGTCCCCGGAATTGGGGACTGGCTTCAGTAGAAGCTGCTGGGACTCCCAGCAGCTTCTACTGAAGCCTTCCGAGTAAATCGCCAGAACGCCGACACCTCCTCATCTCCACCGCTCCCATGTTTTCTTTTGTGTTGCCATAAGTTAGTCTCTCTGCGTTTGTGCGCTGGGCTAATGCTAATGCTAATAATGCTAATGCGAGGATAATAAAATTGCGGTTTCACAAACATTTTGGGAGTTTTACGGGGCGTGGTTTGCATTCCGCCCAGCCAATCAGACATAGGAACCTTTTTCTCCCACGAAAGTCCCTGCTCTCTAGCAGGGACTGAAAAGGGGGTACAAATGGTTCTGATGAACTAATTTAGTTCAGGGGGCTTTTTGGTGTGAACGCAAATATATCTGAGTTCTGATGAACTATTGTGGGAAAAGTACTCCGGTGTGAACGCGCCAATAGACTGTAAATATAAGGAAAACACAGACACTCATCACCGAGGTCACAATATCAATCGATCCAGCAGAGCAATAGCCTATAGGCAAAACACAGAAGATCAACAAAAGATATGACATAAAATGAACTTACCAA